TATGTATGTATGTATATATATATGTATGTATGTTTGCACGTTGAATCCTTCTTATAAATGGAGTGTAATGTATCATGCAGCAGTTGTTGAAGGAGGAACACAGGACCACCTGGGCGACTTGTTGAGACTCCTGATGTTGCACTAGCAGTGACGATGGTGGCTGAAGTGTCAGCTGTTGACACAATGGGAACCGTGGTCGGCTTGACTTCACTGGTGGTTTCGTCTACAGATGTAGTGCCCTTTGTAGTGCTCTTTGTAGAGCTCTTTGTCGTGCTCTCAAAGCCTGTAGTGCTCTGAGGCAAAGTGGTAGTGGTAGTGGTGAAACCTGAGAGGAGAGCACACTGAAGAAGTTTTGTTTGAACTGCTTCACTCTGGACATAAGCTACATTTGAACTGCTCACAACTAAGTAGCTTTGACTGCCACAAATGGAAAGAACAAATGAACTCAGCGATGCTGATGAGCTGAAGGTTGCCGAGAGCAGAACAGGCCAGTTTGGCATTTAAATGGCATGTAAACATCAACACATTGTCAAGAAAATTCCTGGTCTAATTTTGGCGACTCGTTCATTGGTAAGGATTGTTTTCTTCACGAGGGAAAACCAACCACAGAACACAGTAGTGTTTAGTGCTACTAAGTTAAAATAGAAAGGAGCTGCCGTTTTGCCTACCTTAAAAAAAGAACTTTTACTTTACTTTTTGAATGAGTCAAACACAAAGAGAAAGGCTTATTCAGCTGGTGTTGAAACCTACCTGATGTCACTTCAACTTGGAGCTGTGATGTATGCGTTTCGTCATTAGATGTGTCCGTCGCCACAATCTGGAACGTATAGATGGACTTGAGCACCCAATAAAAAGACCAGTCATTCAGTACAGGTAGAATGCAATCATGTTCAAACTTACCACAAGTGAATACATGCCATCTGGCTGATCCTTTATCAAGAACAAAAAGTCACCAACAAAATCAAAGTCACTATTATCTTGGACGGAATATTTGATGTTGGGGTTAACTCCCTGTTGGAAGAGATAAATTAAACATTTATTTCCTAACTGGTGATGTCAGACAAATTAGAATACAAAAACTTATGAGAAATTTTGGAAAAACTATTGGAAAAATCAAAAGTTTTTGTGGATTGGTTTGCCCTTTATACTTCCTGCAGCCAGCAGTTCAACAGCCTTATGTAGTGAAGCATTCCAAAACCTAACCTGAATCTTTCAGATAGAACTGCACTCAAACAGCTTTCAATAAAAAAAGTTTAATAAATTATGGTATTGGTTAAGTTTTTTTTTTTACCTTGTTGATAGTGATGAATAGACTTGAATTAAGTTGTTTATTTTGCTTGTGTTTTAATTTCAAGTGCTAATGCTAAATCGCACAAACTCTCAAATGAATGTTGCATCACATATGAATCAGTCAATCAGAAACAGCTGTTGAATTGATGAAACTGAATTGCATCAGTTAGGGTTTCACAACTAAACTTAATGCATGAGCGTATTTATTTTGCATGGAGAATGATTGAAAGTTAAGCATAGGACTGTGCACACATGACCCATGTACCAAGGCTTGGCCTTCAATGTGGCTATTACATGTTAGGGTGCATGACTTACCCCACTCTATACCCCCATTTCCTGTCTGCATACTATCAAAATAAAGGCACTACAGTAGTGCTTAGAAATAATAGTTAAAAGGTAAGAATGAATGAAAGTTGCTGGAAACCATTGACTGAAGTGTAATATAATTACACTTCAGTCAATATAATATTTTCAGGTTCAGATTAATTATTCAACATAACTTGAACAAAACATGGAAATAAATAAAGAGTTGCCAACTAAAATATACTTTCAGGAAAAGAAAGACCTCTTAGGGATTTGTTATTCGAAATGTTTAGTTATTTTTTTTTTTGCTTAGATTTTTTTCAATGTACTTTCCTTCATTACATTAATTGGTTTCAATGTCATGCGTCAACCACAAACTCTTAAAAAATAATCTTATTGTAAGGAAATCCAGTCACAACCATTGCAATAATGTGGCATTTACTGTAAATGAAGAAAGTGTTGAACCTGACATAGTGGAAGCTGCATTTGTGTGTAAAAATAAACAGTGTTACATTGGAAGTCTGTTTGTGGTTGACCTGATAACAGCAGATAAATATTTGTATGAAATTTTACTTTCTTGAAATGTACAATTAAAAAGTAGGCTTTTAAAAAGATTTCAGACCATTCAAAGAAAGAAATTTGAAATTAACAAACTATGTTCATAAAGCAGCAACACTCAATTTACTGATCGATTAAAAATAAAAAATAAAACATCAAAGGAAAGAAATACTCTAAAAAGAACAAGTTGGAATCATCTCAGCTCATACCAGGTTTATCATGTCAGAAAAAGTGTTTTACCCCAGTGCCAGCGTAGTCTTCATCTAAAGCCAAGACCCGTAATGGCTGGTCTTTGTTATTCCGGTCCATTGCCATAGAGCCAACTGAACTGATGAGGCCTTCATATAAAGGCTTTTCGAATTTTGGTCTATGAAGGCTCTTCACCAGGACAGAGATTGTCACGGTGGTTGTTGCAAACTGATTAGTGTTTATCTTCTGAGCAGCCTACATGAGAGACACATTCCAGGTAAAAGTTTAAAAGGTCAAACATCTTTAAAGATTAAATTTATTACTAAAACAGATCCAGGAAAAAACAAAAAGGTAAAGGGTTTTGTTTGATTTATTTACTGCAAGTTGATATGGTTCAGCTGGATAAATGTAAAAAAAAAAAAAAGTCCCCTTGGTTTGTCATGATCATTTTGTTTTTGGGGGCACCAGTCAATTGTGAGCCAGAACTTTGGGTTTGGGTCAGAAAGTAGCGTGCACATGGAGGCGATGCTAAAATGCCCTCTTGGAAGTAAACCTGTGCTAAAATGCTCTCTTGGAAGTCAGAAGGAGTGCTAAAATGCCCTCTTGAAAGTCATAGCGTGCTTAAGTTCCCTCGTGGAAATAAACCTGTGCTAAAATGCCCTCTTGGAGGTAAAAATTAGTGCTAAAATGCCCTCTTGGAACTCAAAACAATTGCTAAAATGCCCTCATTGAAGCCAACACCAGGGCAAAAATAACCTCTTGGAAGTCAAAACGAGTGCTAAAATGCCCTCTTGGAAGTAAACCTGTGCTAAAATACCCTTATTGAAGCCAAAATGAGTGTTAAAATGCCCTCTTACAAATAAACTTGTGCTAAAATGCCCTCATTGTAGCCAAAACCAGTGCTAAAATGCCCTAATTTAAGCCAAAACCACTACTAAAATGCCCTTTTTTTATAGCTAGTCCTCAATAGTCACTGACCTGTTGGTTTTAAAAGTTTCTCTGCTTCGGCATGGCTGATTTTTTTTTAAAGCTGATTAACAGGCTTTTACTGAACTGCAATCACCTTAATCAGCTGTGCTGAAGTCGAGAAACATTGAAAACATCTAGGAGAGCAGCCTCAAGGCCTGACATTTACCATGGCTGGGCTAAACTTTATATTGTGGAGAGACAGTTTAGTGGATGTAAAATTAAGTGATAGTTCTGTGTACCATTGCTTACCGGTCCACTTAAAAGACTGTGAAATAGGACTTATAGCTCCTCACTAATGGCCCGTCCAGATGAAGCTGGGTTTCATTGTTTATACCAAAAGTTTCTTTGTTGGTTTCTGGTCTCTAACACTGCTCAGGTTCCATCTGATAGTTGTAAGGATGGAGAACTGAAGGTTTTATTTCAATAATAGGACTTTTTTTTTATCAGCAAACTTATTTTGAAAAAATAAAATGTGCACATTCGGCTTCATTGAAGTTTCTTGCATGTTTTCTTTCCAACTCAGTGCAGCATATGAGTGCATATGCACAAATGGAGCTGCCTTATATCCAAATTTGATCCTATCTGTATTGAGTAGCCATATGCATACCTTAGTGCATGTTACATATTGGCCGACAAGCATTATAAAAACCTGCTTTCAGCCAAACAAAACCCTTTATTTAAACAAGCAGCAAGTTTCTTCCCTCCCAATGTGCAGAGGGGGCTGGCTAAAGTTGTATCTTGAAAACAGACTTAGTTTAAAATTCACCGTTTTAAAACCCCCGGAAAAACCAATGGTTTGTTCCAAAAAAGAACACATTTGCTTCTAATGGTTCTTAGAGTTACTGTACCAGAACTGTCAGCACGATTGGACCCAACGCATCTGCTTTTCTCTGCATGGTGATGTTTCCTGTGTTTGAGTTGATCGCAAAGAGTCCATCCTCATTTCCTGAAACACAGTCTCATCATTAACTTCTTATTTAAATAACCATCAATTTATGCTTAATAGATAATTTATGAGAATTAGCTTAATTTGCCAAGATTGTGAAACATGGTATTGGGACAATCCAGGTTTCTTACCACTAAGGAAGGAATATGTAATCTCTTCATTTATTCCAAAGTCTCCATCAATAGCATGAAGAGAGGCAGGATCCAAAGGCAACGCCCCAGTCTGAAAAGACAGAAACTGTACCACTGTACCTTTACCAAGGTAAGATGAGAGGTGCTAAGGAACTGGTTGGACTTATGTTCTATCTTATAGTCTCAGAGGAGGACTCACCTCTTGTTCATTTAAATGAATTTTACCAGTGTAACCTGTATTCTGGCAAACCACAATTTCACCCACTTCATACGGAGTACAAGGTCTGAACCATGGAGGTTTGTTATCAATGTCTATTATGGTGATCACAATGGTTGTGGTAGCAGTGAAGGATGGGCCTTCTGGTGGAGAAATCTCTTGAGTATCCTAAAAGAAAAACCATACAGATCACATTTTTTTCTCTGGCAGACTTGGATAGGAAATGATACAGGAATCTACTAACGAAAAAGCTGTGAAACAAGGAGGCTTTGTTCACAACACAAACTGAGCTATTTAAATTTGATAAGAATTTGTCAAAGTTATGGGCATCCCATTTACTGACTAAAAATGCTTTAGTCTACAAATTACATTAAGGGAAGGCCAGGGGAGGCATGTGACCAGTGTAAACCTTATGGGCTTTTCACAAAGGATGTGGTTTGGGCTGCTCTTACCGCTGGGTTTAGCGTAGTGACACATTAATTGCTGAGCCAGTGCACTGCTGTGCTGTCTTTTCAGCTCTGTGCTAGCTATTTTTGCTTTGTCTATATATATATATATATCAAATTCTTAGACCTGGTGAATCTCCTCTCGATTTACCGGTCTATCTACGTTCCGTCTCAACCTTCCGTCATCTATGGCCATGAGCTTTGGTTCATGACTGAAAGAATGAGGTCCCGGATACTGGCAGCTTTTAGTAGTGTGTCTAGGCTCTCCCTTAGAGAAAGGGTGAGGAGCTCAGTCATCTGGGGAGAACTCAGAGTAGAGCCGCTGCTTCTCCACATCGAGAGGAGCCAGTTGAGGTGGCTCAGCATCTGATTAGGATGCCTCCTGGGCGTCTCCCTGGTGAGGTGTTCTGGGCACGTCCCACTGGGA